TAGGCTGGGACTCACTGCGACATAAAAAAAAGATCGAATGATTTAATTAGTTACATCATAGCTGATTGGCGAAGATAAAGCTGAAGATGAATAAACTCCAGGAACAAGAATTCATTGACGCAAGCTGTCATTCGTTATCTTGAGCTGTGTTACCATTTCGCTAATCTATTACACATTGCAATTGGGTACACTGTATGAAAAAAAAGAGACTAATCCACCATCTATCAACAGCAATTTAAGCTGGCCGCGATAAGGAGAAACACTTCTTTTAATTTAGTTGCATCAAGTTCCGCTGAAGGTTTAAGCGAGGTGTCTAGACTGCTAAGGGTTATCACCTCCATTGAAATGCCGCTGCCGTGCATCTCCTCACTGTTCAAGTTACACTCGGACCAAAAAAAGAACCTTAATTGGAGTAACAAAGGTAATAAGTTGATATCAACTTACTGAGGCACAAATAAATCAAATAAAAAAAATAACGTTCATTTCATTGTAAAATTTTACTAATCGAGAGCGATGGGAATCCTGTAGCCTGCGAGCAAGCACGCCTTCAGAATTTAAGCGATAGAACACATTTTACCGGGCTCCAAACGGGATAAAACCACGCGGGACTTTCGAAAGAACACGAGGAAAGCTTATATATCACAAGCCGAAGGTGAGTAACAAGTGTTGGCGAGAAATCTGCACGGGGTCTATCGCTGATATTATTAATAGTACCAGGCCTCCGGCAAACCCCTCCTCGACTTGTCGCAAATCTTCCCGAAGGCGGGGAAACGCGCGTCGATAATGAGGGCGCGCTCGCAGGCTAGGAATTTCTACGTTTCTTCAACTTAATAGACCGTGTATTTTGCTTGTGAAGTAAGAATTTCGATGGTTACGAGTAACTGGGGGGTAGGGCTGAGCTTCACCCACAGTTGGAAGTCAAAAATTCCATGATAAATGTAGTGGAGCCTCCACTCAAGGAACACGATCGGGACTAGAAAAAGTGTCCCCTACACGAACTAGTTCCTTCACTCAAGGTCCCTTTACAAGGTTCTGGAGTTATTGTAGTCCCTCTTGCAGCCGTTCTTTGTCTCAGGATCCCTGTCTCCCTCCCCACAAACGGCTGCTCCTTTTAACCAAACATTCCATTCCAGCCGATTGACCAATCAGAGTGCCGTCTTCCGAAATCTGGAAGGCTCATAATATATTCATCTCGCCAACACTTTTCAAAATGTTGAAATCTTGAAGGGGGACATTGAGCCAAAGCCTTGGCAATAGCTTCCACGTCTGGACCAAGCTTCTTATTGATAGTTTTGCTTGGGTATTCAATACACAAGCTGACTTTAGGCTCGGTCGGCCTTGGTTTTGGAGTGTGAACATGCGGCCATTTAATTCTCAGTGATTATTGGACTGACGGGTAGAGTAGGTAGCAGTGTAGCTGACGAACTAGAAGATTGAGGCGCACAAGGCAGAGATATTGTATTGTATTGTATTGTATTGTATTATAATCTTTATTTAAACACGATCAATTCATCAGCCTATAAAAATACATATCACATACGCTAAGATATATAAAATTAAAACTACATACTATAACACTAAAGCTGTTTTCCGTGAATGCCGTGCGTTAGACTTTAAAAATGTCATTGATCTTACGTTTAAATAACCCCAGAGACTCTGTGTTCCTTATATCGCGTGGTAAACTGTTCCATAATGTGGCGCCATTGTAGCTAAAGCTTTTTCTGTAATAATTAGTGCGCGGTAGTGGAACATTAAGCTTATTTTCAGAGTCCCTGAGGTCATAAGCAGAGTCACGCCACGTAAACTTTGAATATAGATACCTTGGAGCTAGCCCGTGCAGACATCTAAACATCATGGTGGCTTTATGGATTTCCTGCTGGCGTGCAAGATTTTTCCACCCTAAAAACTCGAGTAGCTCAGTTGCATCAGCATCATAGTTAGAGAATGTCAACACACGGGCTGCTCTATTCTGCAATTTCTGCAGTTTGTCTCGTAGCGTTTTCCCACAGCTACCCCAAACAATGTCACAGTAATCAAAGTGAGGTTTTACTAAAGCTTGGTAGATGAGATGTAAGGTTGATGCTGGGATCAGGTGCCTAATTCGCTTTAGGGCCCCGATACCAGAGGCGATCTTTTTCGTTAGTTTTTCGATGTGACTATGCCAATCGAGTTTATCGTCTATTATTACACCAAGCNTCCAATCTCCCAATTAGGGATTCAAAAGGTGAAAAAATGCCAATAGGAGAGTCAGGTGGTCTGTACCAAGTAACAATCACAAAAGATTTTGAATTTGGCTTATGGATTTCCAAGCAAAGATTTTCTAGTGTATCCATGTGTAGGTCATTTCGTACTGTAAAGTTGATTGAAGTTTTTACATAGAAGCATACCCCTCCGCCGCATTTTGTTAGTCTATCGCGGCGAACTATTTCGTATCCCGGAATATGAACTTCTTGATCTCGAATACTCTCGTTCAGTTTCGTTTCATTTATGGAAACAATATCGATATCATTGTTTGCTAATATGATTCTTAATTCGTCTATATGAGTAATTAATTGATTAATATTGAGTGATGCCATTCTAAAACCGCGCAAAGGAGGCAATATTGAGACAGATTTTTCGGCCTTTTGGTTGTTTAATTGATCCCGCACGGCATTGACGGACAGCACATTATCTCATTCTAGGTGCGATTTAAAATTATTAATACTAGCGGTTTAATATTAATACTAGCGGTTTAGATACTAGCGGTTTAACTGTAGGACTTGGAGGCAAAGAAGTACATGTGCTGGGGCCGGTGAAATCGAGAGCTTTCGCTACAAAAGGTCGCTTTGCGTTCGAGTCGCTGTCAACTGATGGCTGAGGTCTTTTAACCCGGTGATCTTGAATGGAATCATAGTCAGCTTTCAGTTCATTTTTTAGCTCTTGGAGATCGTTTTCTAATTTCTTAATCTTGGCAACTTTTCCGGAGCATTTGAGACATATATATAAAGCAGAATTCAGATAAATGTCGAAAGCTTCCAAGTTTATACTCTGTGCTAAACTTATGACGCTGCCCACATCAGCCGATCTTCCGAAGATTCTAACTCTTTCTTTAGTCGAAACTGTTGACCAACACAGGACTAGGCTTAGCCACAACT